TAAGAGGTTCGAACATAACTTCTCTCTAACACTCTAAACATCTTATTAATAAGTTAATCTTTGACAAATTACAGAGAGGCCCTTGAGAGAGCAGGAAAATACAAAAAAACAGAATAATACAGAGTATGGGCCCAGAATAAGGCCCACAACAGAGAGAAACATAACATAACATAACATAACATGAACTAACTGTCTATGGGCCATTCGGCCCATCTTCTCTACATGTCACATTTGTAGAAATCTTCTCTAAAGCTGTTGTATAATTTTTTATTTGTTTTCTAGTGCGGTGAGTGGATGAGTTCTTACTAGTCAAGAGGTTTTTTGCCTGTATCTGCAAGATAACTGTGTTTAAATGGGCAATTCAAAGATATTTTAATTCCAAATGTTCAGCAAATTCTTTTACTTGGTGTTGTGAGTTTGACAATGTGAAACATGGCTATATCAGGCAGAAGTTAAAGATAAACAAAATTTGGGAAGGCTTGTAAGTGATCCTTTTAATATAGTTGCAGCCCTACATCTTGATTGCATAAAAGGGATGGCTTTTCAAGTCAATAATAATCACATCAAAGTTTTAGTGCTTTATCCTGTTGTGGTTTATGTAGATATCATTCTTGTAAGTTATATTTACATAGGAAGTTTTATATATGCCTGTTGGTGTGCAATTCAGAATTGTGAAATTAAAGTGTCAGCATCTATATTTCCTAGTCACTGGCTGATATGAACTCATTGCTTTAATAGGTTAAATCCTGAGAGGATAGGTGGTGACTTCAAGCAAGAAGTTCAGGTAAGCCCAACAACATTAAGTTCAATGATCACATTAAATACTATTTCTGGATCTTGTGAATGCTTAATAATGAATACTGTTCATTTCATTTTCTTGATATAGTGGATTGTGCTGCTTGTTTCAGGTGCACAGTGGTTTCTTAAGTGCATATGATTCAGTGAGGAATAGGATTATGTCACTTATAAAGCTGTCAATTGGATTTCCGTAAGTCATGCTTCCATGTTAAATTCATCTTAAGCATAAACCTTAGATTCTAGTATTGAATGCAAGGAATGATGCATATGCACCCAGTTTTGGATATTGTGGAAGGGATTTGAGTTATCTACTGCATTTGGTTTCCACTACCTAAACTCTTCCGACTTTGTGTGTGGTTTTGTTTTTTTTTTCTTCAGTTTCTGTTAGCTTTTCTGCTGTGTTATTTGTTCTGGGTTTGGTTGTATGGCTTTGGCCTCTTCCTCTTTTCTTAATGAGTATCCTTTCTACCAAAAAAAACCTCTTCCAACTTCCGACTTTAACACATTATTTACATATTTGAAATTTCTTTAATGCCTTATTTCTTGGATGAGAAACAGATGAAAGAAGCATTTTTTTCCTCAAAAAAAAAAATCTATATGTTTCAAGTGTACTTAAATACTCTAGTACTGTATCCAAAGATCATTCTTTTATTTCTTTTGTTTGCTTCTCTATTTGTCCCTTTTTAGGATGTTCTCCTAATTGCATATTAGTTACATTAGGCATCCCATATATGTTGAGTGTTCAATTTTCTCCCTTTAGGGGAACCTAGAGGTGCTGATTACTAGGTTTATGGATAGAAAAATTATTAGATTAGGCTTTTGGAGTGTAAGACCATGGTTTGAAATTTTGATATTTATAGACTATCAGGATGTATAGATGGGGAAATTTGGGGAATATTTCACCAATTTTGATAAGATATTTAGAAAACCTAAAGAAATCACGGAAATTTTCTAAGAACATGGAATTTGTTAAAACTTAATGAAATTGTCAGGAAAATTGTGATTTCACATTTAAGGCTTAGAAAGCCATAGAAAACAACTGTATATATCAAAAAATATATTATTAAAAGACTAAAACAGTATCTCTCTACTTCTCCCTTGTAGTCTCTTAGCCATCTCCTCTTCTCTACATATGTAACTCATTTTCCATCTTGACTTTTGTCTCTTTTGCTACTCTATGTTTTGATTAAATTGAGAATTACCCTTTTTTAGTTGAATGTATTTTTTTTTCATTTTCTTTTGTATTATGGTTATTTAGTAAGTTGATCAAATCAGAATCGTAAGCCAATCATCCAATAACCAAATCCTGTTTGTTCTTTTAGGAAAAAAATTTCACAAATTCGATGATTTTAACAAAATATTAGAAAGTTTTAAAGGTTTCTAAAATTTTAAATCTTAARTATAGTTTATTAATGAAATCTGAAATGCCAATATATTGTTAGTGTATTGGAGATGTTAGGAAAGAACGATTCTTGGAATATTTTGTATCACCCCTAGCGAAATATGAAGGTTTTGGGGATATTTTTCCAAATATTGTTGATATTCTGAACCAAGACTAATCCATGAGGCAATCCTAGAGAAGTAGTTATGGATTTTGGGAATAGAACACCAAGGACCAAACTCTTAGGGGGAGTGGTGGTAGAGAAATATGCCTCATGCAATTTTGGATGGGACCCTTATGCTAGCTACTTTCTCATATGGTGTTAGTGCATGTATTAGAAACAATTAAAGAATGACATGCATCAGACTTAGTTTCTGGATATTATTAAATGGATGTGGGGAATTGAAATCAGATTTTGGGAAGATTTTTGGTTCTCAGATGGAAATATTTTCATAATTTGCTTCCGGCTATATGGGTTGTAGAGACTAGAGAATAGCTATGGAGTTTTTTCTTTTTTTTTATCAGCAAATAAGACTTTTATTAATTTTTTGTTGGTTAGTTATTATTTACTTATGAAGGGCATAGTAGTCATTTTACAAGACTGTAAGTCAAGGTATATATTGAATAGAACAGCATGATGGCTGAGTGCTTTTTTTCCTCCTCAAAAATTTCTTCCTTTCTTCTCTTATTCTCTTCTCTCTTTTACATAGTTTTCAAGGTGTGGCTAGGTGAAGGGGGCGCCTTGTCACCTAGTTACCTAGGTGATGGATTTTTAATAAAAAACATATATCCTAGGGTAGTTCTATAGGTTCCATAACCATATTTCCTTGATAGTTATCCTTAATTTTCATAAGAAAAGTATAAACTTCATGTTGAAGTATGGAAAATCAACATATTCATGAGAAGGAAAGGAAGAAAGAAAAGAAAATTCAAAAAATATAGAGGGTGAGCCCCTATTTTTGTTATAGGAAAAGAAGAAAAGAAAAGGTGAAAGAAGAAAATGTGTTGATTAAAAAAAACTTTAAGTTCTTATTGATTCAGGATTTGAAGTTTTTGAGGGTTCAATACAGCAATTAGAAATGCCTATGTTGATTAAACCCTAACAAATAAGAAAATAATAAAAAGAAAACACACAAAATCAACATTTCAGTTTAATAATATCTATTTTAATAATCTAAAAAAAATTAAGAATATAAAAGTATTTTATAACACAGCATACAAAACTACTTGGCGGTTAGGCCCGGCGTGCCTCCAAGCGCTTGCCTAGGGTGCCTTGACAACTATGCTCTTTTATTTACTACTCATCCTTTAGAATTTCTCAGAGAAAGTTCACACGTTGGTATCAGATCCTACCCCTATGTCTCATGTTTGAATCATAGAAAGGGCTACCTACTACCAGAGTAAAAGCCTCCATGGAAAAGGGTACCTACCTCTAGAGTTAGAGCTGCCAGGAAAAGGGCTACTTGTTGCTAGAGTGAGACTGTTTGTTTCTAAGAGTGAGAGCTGTTGAGACATTGGCTGTGGAGTGTGGTAGTATATTATGGTCCTAATGGTTAAATGGTTTGGCTTGATGCATTCCAACAGTCCTAGGGCTTTTGGTGTATTGGTTGGGTACATAAGACTTGGTATTGTTGTTTGGTTACTTTACCATTTACCCATTATGGGAGGCAATTGTTATTTCATTTTATTTGTGGATGAATTCTTGAGATGCACATGTCTATAATTGTTTGTAATAAAGATAAGGTTCTTCAACTTATCAAAGATTTTTATAGCATGGTTGAAACCAATTTTGAAAAGAAGCAGATAGTGCTTAAGAATATTTTGAGTAGAAGTTCACATTATACCCAAAGGAGAGGGGTGTTACACATCAATGTAGGAAGGTGAGATTCATCTTATGGATGGTCGAACCATGCCAAATGGTTGGGCGAAATTTCAAAAATTTCTTTCAGCCTTCCAGGAATCGCATTCCCAAGATTTAGAAAATTTGCATTTTTCAAGGATCGCTCTTGCACTGAAACCAGACCAGATTTAAACCAAAATAAAGGGAGAAGTATACCTGATACGGATTCCACAAGTGTAGCTCCCAAAGTGGTAGTTCACGCCCAAATTGAATCCCCAAAACCAGCCTCCATTGAAGATGGCGCAGCTTGGAATGAAGCCAGTTCAACAATGCAGTTTTCAACAAAACTGCAATCCAACTCTTTGGATCGAACAAAGGAGGTGAGCACGAATTATCTCTGATATTTTCTTGCAAAAAACAGAGACTAAACTGATCAAGATCAGTCACAAAAAGGGGAGATCGAATTAGGGTTTCTGGGGCGGCAAGAGTAGAGAGAGAGAACTCAAAGCAGAATGATCTGGAGTAGTTCGATCTCCTCTTCTCTTAAGCCTTAAGGAGCACCGCTCCTAATCAAATTAGGATGTTCCTAATCCAAATCTTTATTTGGATCTGGACTCTATTAGTGGATAGGAGTTATCCTCTTATGACAATGGGTGCACCAAACCCATATTCAAACCCATGTTCGCCCATGTCACATGACTGCTTAAGCTGTAATGTGACATCCTGATTAATCACATTAATCATGGGCCTTAGGCCCATTAAGCAAGTGGCTCACGTCCCAAGATAGTTGCTGGCCCATTTAGGTTCAATTTGTATGGCGTGGGATCCCAACAATGACCTTACATAAGCTTACATGGGTTCGGCCCAGCCTTTGAGAAAAGGCCTAGCCGAATTTACTGTCAAGTACAGTGAACCCCTGAGTCCATCAGTATGGGCTCTTAATGGGCCCAACATTTACAATTAAATGATCCTTGAGTCCAGCCATCCTATGAAGGCCCAAGGATAATGGGCTTAAGTGAGTTATAGCCCATCCGGTAAACAACCCTCAATGGTCTCTTACACCTAACCTCTCAGCCCATAATGACCAAACACTGTCCGACAGGGAAGGACCTCTCCCCTGATTGCAAGGTGCAGTGTTGCACTCTCTGCTTCGATGGGTCCCGGGAATTAAAACCTTTTTGCAAACATTTTTCTTAAAACATAATATATATTATCATATAAATATATTTTGCAAAACAAATCTCAAACACAGTTGAAATCGACTGCCGGCAGTTTTGGTTTCCATCAGAGAGAGTGTAGTCCCGATCATTCACTTTGTTCGACAAAGGGGCTGATCCTGTACTCGACCTTGGTCGTGGAATCTGCTGCGGACCATTGCTTGCTGTTTTTCCAACTAATTGCACAGGACCCCATCGTAAAGATGTAGCCAGATGTAGACTTTCTATCATTTGGGTCTGACTGGAAATCGGCATCAATATACTCGACCATCTGTAGTGAACTACCATCGAAGACAAGACAATATTCTTTAGTCCTCTGTTAGTATTTGAGTATGTTTTTCACAACGGTTCAATGCTTCTATCTTGGGTTTGATTGGTATCTACTTACCACACTCACAGCCTGAGCAATGTCTGGCCAAGTGCACAACATGGCATACATGATACTCCCTACAGTTGAGGCATAGGGAACCCCTCTCATGCCCTCAGTCTCCTTARGGGTCTTGGGAGACATACCCTTGGAGAGAGTGACTCACAGGGTTCATCTAGATTCTGCTCAAAGTCAAACTGTTTGACCGTAGAGTCAAATCGGATGTTCCAACTTCTGAAAGCTTGCTTCAATCCATAAATTGATCTGTTCAGTTTGCACACCATATGTTCCTGACTAGATGCAACGAAGCCTTGCGGCTGCTGCATATAGATATATCTTCAATAAGATCTCCATTCAGGAACGCGGTTTTGACATCCATATGCCAAATCTCATAATCGTAGTGAACTGCTATAGCTAACAGAATCCGAATGGATTTAAGCATGGCCACAAGCGAAAAGGTTTTCTCATAATCGACTCCTTCTTTCTAAGTGTATCCTTTCGCTACATTGATACCATTAAAAGTTCTTTTACACCTACTTTGATATTAAATGTTTATAGTAAGAGGATTCATATATATTTAGTTCTTCAATGAGTTTGTTGCTTGTTTAGGATTTTTTTTTCTAGTTGTTCATACTTACTATTGTATTAGAAAACTTAACACACCAGTCTTTGTCCACAAACACCTTCAATGATGGTCATGGTCATCAATTCTCTTCAAATTAAAAGGAAGCAATCTTATGGAGGATTACACCTTTTGAGACCTTATGAGGAATTTGGAATGGAAGGAATTGACAAATCTTCAGAAATACTTTTAAGCCTTTGACAGGAATGTGAAAGAATATCAAGTTATCCATTATGGATTGATCTCTTGAACACAGATTCCAAGGAGATGGCAATGATTAACCATAACAAGTGTATCTTTCAAGAAGAGTGCCTTTCCTCAACTTGTTTGGGCATTGGAGGCTTTTATTTCAATTTTAAAAGTTCCTACAGAGTTTAGAGGCATTTAGTAAAATATTTTTAGTAGGGTTTTACTTTCTTTTTATGAATAACTGAAAATCCAAAGAGGGAAATACCTCATGCCAAACCCCACTACACTACAGTCTACAAAGCCACTAAAGTTTGTAGTACTGAAAGAAGGTAGTTGGCATTCGAGTTAGACTATCTGAGTTGGGTTTTTCCTTTATTTTTCTTTGAAATTGTTTCTACTATTCAATATAGAATCTCTTCATTTTCATATTACAAATTTGTTGAATTTTTTATTCCGAACTTGCTGGTCTTCTTTCATATTCYTCTTATTCTGCTCCCTAAAATTTCAACTTGTTTGTTTGCTTTTTTTTTTTTATCTGAAGCCTGATGCATGTTGTAGAATCAAGTAGGCGTCCAGTACTGGTTATAACATTTTTGCATAATATATTATGTCTAAAAGTTGTTCATTTACAGTATTAATGTATTTACTACTAATAAAATGCTCTAAATATGAAAGCAGAACATAATCAATGTYTTTGTTTAAAATTCTAACAAAATAAAAGCATATAAAAATTTGTTTGATTTGTAAATGTTGCATCAGAAACTGGTATCAAAATCAGTGTCTTTTCAAATCCTGAAATGTACCAATTTATTTTGTTGATGATTCTCAAATAAATATGTATGATGGCAGGGATGATGATTCAGAAGTGGTGTCCAAATGGCATATCTATGTAACTGGTCATAGTTTAGGTGGTGCATTAGCTACCCTCCTTGCTCTTGAGCTTTCATCAAGTCAACTAGCAAAGTGAGTTTTATCTATTTATTACTGCATACAGTATATGCATTCTCAGTGATCAAGTAAAGATATGATTCAACTATTTTTTCCTATGGCTGGTTATTATAAGTTTTTCATGCTGGCTATTTGCTGATTGATATATATCAGATATTTGATTATAATTTCATCCCATCTGTTCTCTTTCCTATCTTCATAAAAATCTTTCCATTTTTTTTTCAAATAATATTTCAATTATTATAGTCAATGGACATGCTTCTGGATAGAGCAGAATGGCAGATTAAAAGATCAGGTAATAAGATATCACGTTTGAAAGAAGAGTTACAATCAGAGAAAATAAATCCACAACACAGAATTCCCTTAAAGAAACTGAAACCCACCGCAATGACTATTTTTTTCCTTGAGAGGCCAAATCTTTAAGAGGGCAAGAGGACAGATTGTCATTTGGATGTATTGAAAGACAAAACTGAGTAGAGTTATTTATTATATATATGCTCCCTGTCAATTAGAGCATAGATGTCATGCTCAACTTTGCTAAGGTTCTAGCTTTGACTTCAGGATTCCCTTTGTTRGAGCATTTTCTGTTGGCATTTGGTTTTCAAGAATGGTAAACATGATTCTTGAGAAGATTCTCATTCTCTAATGAAGTGTTTGTGCACCTTAATAGATGATCCTATCATATGCTGATTGAAGATTCAGTTCTTAGACAAGAATCAGGTGGTCATACAATTGGATGGATAATGTTAATCTAAATTCTCAATTACATATTTCTTATATAACTTAACCAAAATCCTATTGTTAATATGTTTATGTAATAAGTATGTTCGTGTTGCATAACACAATTTTATGATTTATCATGGAAATTAGAAAGCAATGGCCATACATATAGTTTATATTTTTCTTAGGGTGTCAATAAAGTTTTATGTTTCTTTGGACTGTATTAGGCGTGGAGCAGTTTCTGTTACTATGTATAACTTTGGATCTCCTAGAGTTGGGAACAGAAGATTTGCAGAAGTTTATAATGAGGTAATTGATAAATGCACTCATACTTCACAAGTTGTGTTACTAAGATGATGCATATGGCAGAGCTTTCTTTCTCACCCATGTTGGCAGCCTTGATTAGATAAACTAGAATGCTTTTAATGCAATCCAAATGCAAATGATTATTTGTTTGGAAAATTGTCTGAACTTTATGTTTTTTATCCATTCTTAGATGTGTGCAAAGTGCACTTTATTACTCCTTGATGCCTTAGTTTTCAAGGCACCAAGGCGAGGCTAGGCGACAGGGGGTGCCTTGTTGCCTAGTTGCCTAGGCGATGTATTTTTTTTAAGTAAAAATCACATATCCAAGGGTAGTTCCCTAGGTTCCRTAACCAACTTTCTTTAATAACCATCCGTAATTTTCATAAGAAAATTATAAACTTCATGTTTAAGTCTAGAAAATCAACATGTTTATGAGAAGAAAAAGAAGAAAGGAAAGAAAATTCAAAAAATATAGGGACTGAACCCCTATTTTTGTTATAGGGAAAGAAAAGAAAAGGTGGAAGAAGAAGATGTGGAAGAAGAAATGTGTTGATTAGACAAAATTTTAAGTTCTTCCCTTACTTGTTGGTTCAGATTTTGAAGTCATTGAGGGTTCACTACAGCAGTTAGCAATGTTTGTGTTGATTAAACCCTAACAAATAAGAAAATAATAAAAAGAAATTAGTTTATAAACCCAAAAAATGAATATTTTTCTTTAATAATGTCTATTTTATAATTATAATCTCAAAAAATAACAATATAAAAGTATTTTATTACATAGTATGCAAAACTGCTTGGTGACTAGGCGAGGCGAGCCTCCAAGAGTGCCTTGTCGCCTAAGCGTCACCTTGGCAACTATGCTTGATGCTTCAAGAGGAAGCTGGAGTGCACTTTTTTTTGATAATTTTAGTGATTATATATATAAATGTATATTATTTTATATTAAACATAAAAGTCTTAAGTTTCATTTTAACATATAAATAAATATTTATGAATTGAAATGTGTCAACACTTCAGTCAATTCAAGGATTTATGAATTGAAGCTGGAGTGCACTTGATATTATTATTATTATTATTATTATTATTATTGTTATTATTATTATTATTATTATTATTATTATTATTATTATTATTATGCGTTAAAAGGATTTTCTTACTGTTTTATTGTTCTATCTCTTTGCTTGAATTCCTCGTGTTAAAGTGTTATTATCAGTCAGAAGATATATAGAATATGCTGCAGAAGTCATCTGTTGCCTAAATTTAGAAGGGGGAATTTGACAAACTTTTTATTCCTTCTAAACCCTTTTGAATTTTTATTCTATTCCCTCTCTCTCTCTCTCTGTGCTTTATCTCACACGCATACGCAGACATAGACCTTTTATTTGGTTCTTCTACTCTTCCATTTAAATCACTTTTAAATTTCTTTATTTCTTTTCCTTTCCATCTTTAAGGTATTCTTCATATTCTTTGGACATGCATTTTTTCCTTTCTTCTCCAAACCCCATCTCTTATGCATTGCCATGCCAGATTGCTAGTTCTAATATAAACCTTCCATTGCTAATTCAACAATTACTGTTACGCAATATCATAGAGCCTCTCTTAACTTTACTTGAGGTTGTGTTATTGAAGTCATATATAATAGTCAAGAACAAGAACTGGTAAGATATTTTCAAGTGTTTAAAATATCAAGAGAACAATGAAAACTTGAACCAACAAAAATGAAAAATCTTAGGAAAAGATTCTGATGGTAGGAATTTTAGTAATTTCATAAGCTCTTGCTTGAAACTGCTCTTCTTAGTTAGACTTTAGACTCTTTACATTGGGGAAAGATGAGTGGAGCTATTAGAGCTAATGATTTTTAATTTCTTGTCTAATCATTTAGCAAGCTGCCTAGTAATCTTAGGCTTGTCTTATAGTGGCCTGAACTCACGACCTAATTTTGGTTTTTTGATTGACATCCCTAGCTTGCAAACGTCCTGATAACTTCTCCCATTTATGATAATAAAATGGGATGGCCCTACTGTTCCTCTGAGCACATACTTCACTTTGGGATAAGGGAATGATACAAGAATAAAAAATCATGTAAACAATGGTGAAGAAAAGTTATGTGGGGGTTGTTAGGGCCTTGCAATTTGACCTGGGAGGGTTTCTTTGGATAAAAGTTTAGCAAAGCTTAGAACTTTTAAAAGTTTGAAATCTTGATATCTTAAGATTGGGAGTGCCATTTGGACAGGACTAGTACCACCTAAGATTCAAGTCTTTTGTTTGGAGGTCTTCCATAATAAGATCAATACCTGTGGCAACCTTCAAAGGAGGAAGCTTACTTGTGTATCTCTCCATGTGTGTATTCCTGTGCAAAGAAAATGGTGGAAGTACTTTCCACCTAGTAATCTCTTCTAATTATGTGTCTGCTATAGTCTGCTATATGGGGATTCTTTTTGTTCTTTTCGGATGCAAGTGGTCTCCTCCCAGTGACTTTAGCAGCTTCTTTGGTTCTTCATTCTTCTTCCAAACTAGAAAGAGAGGCAAGATTATGTGGAGATGCATGAGAGCTGCGGTGATTTGGTGTGTTTAGGAAGAAAAAAACGTAAGAATATTCAAAGATAAGGTGGGCATCGAAGATACCATTGAAAACATATCTATCAAGGTGGCACATTGGGTCAAGACCTTGGAAAAATTTAATCCATTTACAACTGAAGACATCCTAAGAAATTGGAAGGAGGTGGCTGAAATGTCCTTGGCTAGAGGTGATGTATTAGTTAGATGGAGCTCACCACCTAAAGCATTTATGAAGTATTAAGCAAGAGAAATCAAGGTAGAAGAAGGAGAAGAGAAGGGTAGAGAGTACAGAGAACTGAGAAGAGAGGAAAGTTTTAGGGGTTCAAAAGCAGAAATAAAAACATAAAATTACAAGAGTGCCCTTGTGGCACAAACTAATAGAATTACAACACAAAGGTTAATTTGGTTGGCTGCAGTCTTGAAAATCCGGGCCCTGCTGGAGTGGGGGGAATGTTTTGAAATTGGGAAGGAAACGTATTAACTCTATACTCTGGGACAGTTTTAATTGGAAACTCAACTAGGGCTTTGCTACTTGGGTGGTATTAGAAGAATTAAGATGGGCAAGAGTGCTGACTTATGGAAATCTCATAATTGAAGGAGATTCGTGTGTTGGAGTTGGGTGGCTGAAGGAAAATAAGGAGGGTCCTTGATGGTACAGGCATGCATTAAGATAATCACAGAGTTAACAGCCTTTGCTACTTGGGTACAACATTGCACTAATGGGTTGGCTGATAATTTGGTGAAAGAAGGGGAATTAAGAAATCAGATGCTCTTGGGGTGAGTATAATGAATTCAGAATAGGTGGTTAACCAAGGCTAGCGACCTTGAAGGGAATGTAGATAAACATTTTGTACTCTTCAATTTTTCATCTCAATAAAATTCAGAACTGTTGCACTCAAAAAAAATCTTATGGTTGGGAACGAATCTCTTAAAAAGGTTTTGTAGGTATGTTTAAAATGAAAAACTAAGGGGGTGTTCTATGACATGTTTTTTTTATTTTAATTTGTTTCTGAAACCGCCACATCAGTAAAAAAAAAACAAAAACATGTTCTTGAACTGTTTTTCTGTTTTGAGAAGCCGAAAGAAGATGATTTGTCTCAAAAAACAATTCATGTTTTTGAAACCATCAAAATAATGGTAAAAAAAACAAATTTTTAATAAGATATTATRTGATTTATGAAACGTGATTATTAACTATCCAGATGAAAACATGTTCTTTAAACCAGAAATTCAGAAAAATGTTTTGGGTTTCAGTTTTGGAAACAAAAACACATATGACCAAGAACATTTTCTGTGTTTATGTATTAAGACCGAATTTGTTTTTAAACAAGATGGTTTTGATTTGCTTTTGAAACTTGCAACAAGAAAAACAATTCACATTGACAAACACCCCCTAAAGGGGTAAAACTGATAAGAGGTGGTTTTTACCCAGTGTAGAGTGAGATGTTTCAGAGAGAGATTCTCTCTCTTTGGGCATATGTGGAATTCAATGAAATTAATAAAAATAGAGAAAGAAGTTACATTTTTTTTTTCAAAAAAATGGTAAGGAGTTGTTTTAATGGTTCAGACTAGTCCTGTTCCGAGAAAGAGAGAGAGAGAAGAAGAAGAAGAAGAAGAAGAAGAAGAAGCTGTCAAACTAGAGAGATTAACCATACTAGTTGACCATAATCTCTATTATAATATAATTAGAGTACAAGGTCAAATATGCCCCTACTTAAGTATGGGACAAGTGAACTAAAAAAGTTAAAACATAATTGCCACATCATCACATAATGAAAAGACTAATCTACCCTTACTTGACCAACTCTAACAAGAGTGAAGAGTTTGTTTTACCTTTTTTTGGAAAAAAAGAGCGAGGAGTTTACTTGGGATATAGGAATGGGTGATTCAGGTTAAGTGATGTACTATAAATGAAGATAAAGTTTCTGGAATGCTGGAAGATTTCAGACTTGCAGGAGGATAACAAACTAGAAGAGAGAAAGTAGAGAGAAGAGAGAGAACTAGGGATTCTAGTTAACACAGAGGAAAAACACTGAAGACAGATTACAGTATCAAGAAATGACTTTCAGTTCACTCTCTATCCAAAATGTGTATTCGAAAACATATTTTAAGGTTCTTATGGGTTGGCCAACTCTTTAATAGAATAGAATCAGAAAAATTATGGAATTGCCATTGGTAATTCTCAATCTGAAGATGATATGTTAACTCCTTTTCTACTTATGACCATAAAAACTTAAGACATAATTCACTATAACTAGATTAACATAAATTCCTGGCCTGACCCTATTAACACTAAGAAAAATAACCACAGTAGCCCTATAATAGAAAAAATAAGAAATATTAAAAAAAACCCTATATTGATTCTACCTCCAAATGATGCACATATCAATTTCTTTGCAATATATAGGATATATTTTGGAACAGCTTATTATAGATGCATTATACATTTGAACTTTGAAGCAATTTACTATCAATTTATTATTATGATTCTGTGTAATTCGGATTTGAGTGCAATTCTCTTCATGTCAGCTATTTATCTTCAGTCTGGTTTATCCTTACCAATCTCTTAGAACTGCTACTTGCAGAAAGTTAAAGATAGCTGGAGAATTGTCAATCATAGAGATATTATCCCAACAGTTCCTCGGCTTATGGGCTATTGCCACGTAGCTCAACCTATTTATTTTGCAGTTGGAGATTTAAAGGATGCTTTGGTGGGTAATTGGTTCTGAACTCCGTGTGTTATTGACTTTTTCCTCTAGTTGTCGAGCTTGCCCTCTATTTATTTATTGGGCTACCAAATAATTGTTTTATCAAAAGAAAAATAAATTTTGAACAATAATACTAAGTAAAAAATACAAAAAATAAATATGTATTGAGAAAACACCCAAGAAAACGAAAGTGTCTAGACAGTATTATCCATAAGATCAAGAAGGGAGCTCAAATTAAAAAGCAGCTATCAAAGTCTTCAAAATTTGGGATAATGGAGAACCATTGCTGAAATATGTGAGGCTCAGATAAAGTTTCCATGGCCTTTCCGCATTTGGTAATCTCTTTCAACATGTAAACCTAATAAGCAAGAAACTTGCTTTGTCCCAACTGCTGTTACAAGGATTGTATTTATCTACTAGTTGCTTCTGCTGTAAGGCTCCTTCCTTCCCAAACCTTCATAACCATTTCCTGAGAAGCTTCTAGTTCATTAGACTTGGAACAGCCAGCCTTTCCATACCCTCTATCCACCATGATTTGACTACATGAAACTTCTTTTTATCCCCTTGTCCTGCTAGAAAAGATTTTTGTATTTCCTCTATCTTTCTCACATTGACATTGGAGCTGCTTCAATAACCTGAAATAAGTAGGGAGATTTGACAAGGCACTTTTGATTAGTGTTATCTTTCCTTGCATGATTAATATCTTGTTTTCTCTTGACATGTATTAGACAATCTTCATGGATTTCCAAAATAAGCTCATAAAACTATCCTTATAATGAGATTTTTCTGTCTTTTCTTACTTAAAACTTTCAATAATGATAGAGAACATCACTGGACAAATTTTGGGCTTCATTGTACAGCTGAAAACTTGAGTTAAACGGTTGTTGACTGACATGTTTGTATTAACTTCTATTTTATAGTTCTCTTCTTCATTTTCCCTTGTTCTCTGTATTATTTTCTTTGTCCAATGATCTTTTACTGGTTTACCAATTATACATCCCAACTATATGGGGTCAGCTAGATGAATCCTGTTCTGCCTTTCTATATATAGATATAGATATGGAGAATGCAAAGTTAAGCTATTTGTCATAATGCTGAAAATTAACAGATAAATAGAAATTACTTACTAGATGACATTGTTAATTTCAGGCAAACATAGAACTTTCAGCAGATGGATACCAAGGTGATGTGATTGGGGAGTCTACACCTGATGTACTCGTTAGTGAATTTGTACGTGCTCTTAACTTTTCTTTCTTCCTGAAACTTTCAACAATAATAGAAGACAACATTACCAGTTGACAAATTTTGAGCTTAATTGTATTGCTAAAAACTTAAGTAGATAGAGAGATAGATAGATAGATAGGAGAGAGAGAGATGAAACTTTCAGTCAACGGTAAAGGAGAGATGATTTGAACTCTCCCTGCTGGAAATTAGAGACAATGAGAAGATCTAGCCGCAGGGCTATTTTTGTACTTTTACTTCTTTTGTTGAATATCTATTTTATGCACTCTTTCTTTGTACACTAAGGGCAGATTTGTCCTTTTACTTTTTTTTAATATAAATATCTCTTTTAGGGTGTCGACAGTCACTATGTGTCACACCTACCAATCTGCTGTGTTCTCTCTCTCTCTCTCTCTGTCTTTCCGATCTGACTTTGACATGGTATTAGAGCAGGTCACGATCTGATCTGCATTTAACCCTTTTTCAACCCTTTTCTTTTATGCTATCTAGAGTACTCCCTAACAGTATTTGGGAGGCTCTCGAGTGCCCTTGAATCCCTCCCCTGAGGCAGCCTTTGATCAGAACTCTACAGACAATTTTTCTGGACTGTTGCGCCATCAGATTTCTCTTTTTTGTTGGATCTCCTTGTAGAGACATTGGATCAGGCTGAAACTTTAGATCTAGTGTCGCCCAGAGCAGATCTACTGATTCTACTTGGTTTGGATGGGATCAGATTTGATTTAGAAGGGTTTTGATCCACTTCTGAGTTCGGCAGACCCTTACAGTTTCCTTTTCTGGACATCAGTTGAAAGGGACCTCTTTCTTTCTTCTGATTTGAACCCTATCCTTTGCTTAGAAGTGTGGTTTTCTATCTCTTGTGATTCAATAGCATTAGAAAGGATGGAGGTTCTCCCTATTAAGGTTAATGGTACGAACTATGCACTATGGAAGTTTAATTGTCAATTTCATGTTGAGGCAAAAGGTCTTTGGGGATATCTGGATGGATTAGTAGCTCAACCTGATGATTCAGATATTAAGGGTCTTAATCAGTGGAAAATTGATAATGCGAAAATCGCATCATGGATCCTAGGATCAGTTGAAACAGACATTGCAGCCCCTATGAGAGGATACTGTTGGAAAACGTGGGGTTACTGGTTCAGATCTGAAAATGGAATTGTATATATTTCYAGGATTATGGAAGGATTGATTTAGAAAGTTTTTTCTTTCTATTTCTTTCTTTCTATTTTTGTACTTTCTATTTTCTCTTCTTTCTATTTTTTCTTCTTTCTATTTTCTTTTCTTTCTATTTTTCTTTCTTTCTATTTATTGCAGCAGCTTACTGTATAAATATGCCCATTGGCAATAGAATGAAACATATCAGTATTTTACCATTCCAAAACAGATACATGACTRCCTATGAGATGTATGAGTATCTTGAGAAAGTATATCAACAATCAAACACCTCTAGACAGTATCAGATAGAGGTTGACATCTTCTCATACTATCAAGGAGAAAGGAAGGTCCAAGAATATTAAGCAGGGTTTATTAACCTTTGGACAGAGTATGAGTTAGTACACATGGGAAAGGATCCGTTAGAATGTTGTGTGAAGTATATGAAGGAACACTTTGATAGAAGGAAGATTATGCATTTCAGGCTTGAATTTGAAGTTGTCAGATATAATATCCTAAGCCGAGGAACACTTCCTGACTTGGATACTATTCTTGGGGAAATTCTCAGAGCTGAAACCAGATTTGCTAAAAGGTTCCAACATTAGTACTGTCTTCTTGGCAACAAAACTGAAGGGGAAGGACTTCTCTAAAGTACAGTKCTATGAGTGTAAGGAGTTTGGGCACGCTGTCTCCCATTGCAAGAAAAAGAATACATGCAGTTATTGTGAGCAGTTTGGCCATATCATTACTTAATGTCCTACTTGGCCTTAGAAAAGTGGTGGATCAAATCAGAAGAAAGGAAGCTACAAGGCCTATCAGACTGATATAGATGGATCAGATGCTGCATCCTCCATTATTTCAATGGCTGGCCAAAATGACACTTCTGGTGGCATGTCTGAAGAACGAATTCGACAGCTCATGTCCTCGGTCATCTCCTCAGCCTTCTCTGCTATTGGTCTGTCTGGTAAGTCACCGACCTATTGTCCCTCACCAAATCACCTTTGGTATATTGACCTAGGAGCCTCTAACCATATGACAGGGGCCACACTTGGTCAGTATCCCAAACTCCATCTTCTCAATAAACACATTGTCATTGCTAATGGTGAGAAATTAGATATACTTGGATGTGTTGATTTGTATTTATCTACTTCTAAGTCATCTCCATTTCATTTATCCAAAACTTTATTTGTACCCAAGCTCACTACCAATTTGATTTTAGTTGGCCAACTTGTAGAGGAAGGTAACATTGTCTCATTCACTTTTGACTGCTATTTGAGACAGGACCGGCAAATTGGGGAGATGAAGGGGAAGGGGCATAGACTAGGGCAACTATTTGCTTTGGAGTTTGAGAAGAATAAGGCTGCACTCGTTTCTACAGTCCCTTTTTACTTAATACATAGTGATGTTTGGTCGTCTCCTGTTGTTTCACAGCTGGGTTATAAGTACTTTCTAACCTTTATTGATGACTGCACTCATTTCACTTGGCTTTATTTTCTTCGAAAGAAATCTGAACTTTACTCTGTATTTTAGCACTTTCATGGTTATGTTACTACCATGGTTTAAAATGTCGCGAAATGTCAGAAATGTCGCTCGACATATGTCGGTGTCGAGACCCAGCGACATAAATTTTACATGAATTAAAAAAAAAAATACAATATGTCGGTCGATATTTCGACCATTTCGGTAAATGTTGACAATATCATTCCAAAAAACAAAAAAAAATATATAATATATCAAAATATTTCCAAGTATATGTCGACAACTTAGCATATATTTGAACTACAAACATCTCATATTAAACAAAAAGAGACATTAAAGGGGAAAAAGAAGAGGGTTTTATGTTTTAGCTTGTGTACCTAGAGCTGGAGTACAACTTCAGGATCTAACCAAGCACAAGAGTGGTCATGCGCTGAAATATCTTTTTCTTGGAAGCAGGATGTTCAGCTTATGAAACTTTGAAGAAATTTCTCTTATCTTGATTCATATATGCAATAATCCTATTTCTCTCTCACGGTGAATAACCATGAAAAACATAGGAAAAAAGTAGAGAGAGAGAGAGGGCAGCAGAAGGTGTGAACTCAAGGTCGAGAAGGTGAATACTCTTCATCATCTTCTATTTTGTTCTTGAAGGGCTTCATTGAGTGCTGGTTTGCTGCTCACTGGTTGTAGATACACTCTGCGTCTCTTCGACATTTGAGGAAGCTGAAGTTCATTCGAATGAAATTGAAACCTCAGCCTTAACTTAAGTTTATTTAAACTTTAAAGACTTGCTATAGTCCCTGATGATCAATGGAAGCCTATAGACCATCACAATAGCAAGCCCTAAAATGGAATCTTTAAAACATCATTATATAAACATGTTACAATGCAAGAGGGTCTATTGTAATATTATAGACCTCATAAATGAAAACTTATAAATAGAATCTTTATTTCACTCTTATTACAGTACATGAAGGTCTACAACAATAATGTAGACCCTCACTACAAAAGCCANTGGGTACGATTCTTCCCAACTTTCATAACATGGTCCAAACTCAGTTTGGTGTGAGAATTAAAAGGTTTCAATCTGATAATGCTACAGATTTAATCAGAATTTGTCCCCATTTTTTCAAAAAGAAGGCATTGTGCATGAATCCTCCCCAACAGAATGGGGTAGCTGAGAGAAAAAATGGCCATATTTTGCAAACCACCCGAGTCTTTCTCTTTCAAAATTAGGTGCCAAAACAATATTGGGGGGAAGCTGTCCTTCCTGCTGCCTACACCATAAATAAACTACCATCTAAAGTTCTTGACAACCGAAGCCCAATACAAGTCCTTTCTCAATTTTACCCTGATATTCGAGCCTCAAATAATCTCACCCCAAGAATTTTTGGTTGCACTGCCTTTGTTCATGTTCATAATAAGGGAAAATTAGACCCATGAGCAATCAGGTGTGTCTTCTTGGGATATTCCCCAACTCAGAAAGGTTATAAATGTTATCATCCAGCCACCAGAAAATTCTACATCTCCATCGATGTCACATTTCAGGAAGGAAAATCTTTTTTCACTCAACCTTATCTTCAGGGGGAGCCCTCATTAATGGAAGATAAGGCCTCGGATCTACTCTCCCTAGATGTATTACCCTCCTCACAGACATTCAATCGTCAAGAATCACATCCCTCTGAGTCACACTCCTCTGAGCCCCACATTCTCGACTCTCAAAAAGAGTCAAACAACTCGACCATTTAACCAAATTCGAACACTATTAACCCCACGAATGATGTGCATGATAATGTGAGATATATCCAGGTTTACTCTAGGAGGAAAAATCCAGATCCTCAACCTRTGCAAGTCCAAGATTCAACTCCTAATCCTAGAACTGAGGGATGCTTAGATCCTGAACCTACACCTTCACAGTCTGAGTATGAGTATGACCTACCTATT